GTGGGAGAGGGAGAGGGAGAGGGAGAGGGAGAGGGAGAGGGAGAGGGAATGCTAGAATGCCTCTCTGGCCTGGTCTGCCTGCCCTAGAACCTGAGTTCTATTATCCCGCTACAGAATGAGGGAAGGTCCACAAAAGGACTGAACCTGAGCAGAAGATTGAGGACAGTTTCACTGAATTAAACTTCAAGTGTTGACTGAGCGGCAGGCAGGCCCTGCATGTGGTATCAGGGACAGGGCTTCACCGTCTTGGCTTGGCTTTTCTTGGGTTGTACTGAGGGCATTCATTGCCAGGGTCAGGGCAGAAACACCAGATGCACTGTTCCACTCAGAACATCTCACTTGTTTCTAATGAAGGAAGCAGCTCAACTGGAAGAAAGAGAGAGAGCGAGAGAGTGAGAGAGCGAGAGCGAGAGAGAGAGAGAGAGAGAGAGAGAGAGAGAGAGAATATTACAATGATTGTTGCCCTTTGAAAGTATTGAGAGTCAAAAAAATGTCTCGAGTCTCCACTGTTTTATTATAATTTTGGTCCTTTCATCATAAGGTTGTTTTTTTCTATGCTAACAGCTTTAATAGAAAAACGAACTTACAGATACAAGTGTTACCACAGTACCATGGGGACGTACTGTGGAATTACCTGCCTGTGATGTCACGTAAGAGCCCTGACTCAGATTCATCATAAGCTAAAATTCCTCTTGCCTTACTATGCGCAATAAGAAAATTCTCATCAGACATTTATTCTTTAATTTTCCCTATGAATTCAGAATGAATGCAGCACAAACATTTGACCAATTGAGATTGGAAGTCAGATTAATGGTAATATTTTTGAGGTATAAGGGTGGAAGAATCTTCCAAGACTTTGGATTGAGATTCTTATAACAACAATAGCAATATTATGGAAGCAACGGACTTTTCCATGGAAGAAGAGGAAAGCTAATGTGTGCCAGGCTCCCCTGAAGCTAAGAGGGTAACATCATCGAGAGACTACACGCCCCATCAGAAGACTACAGGACTCAGAATAAATGAAATAAGGAATATTCTTCTCTGATAAAGTGAAATTTCAACATAACCTACATCAAAATCATGAGTTCCTACAAGAGGCTTTGTTGTAAAGCAGAAAAGTATTTTAGCATATGCAAATTCCATCCAATAATATTCAAAATTATTATAATGGTGTCACAATCTCGGCACAGGAGGCATGTAAGAGGCAAATGAAATGCTTGCTGCCTAGTGATGTGACTGTGAAGGTGATTT